TTTCTACTTAATTTAAGTGAATTTAGGATTGGCACTGGATATTTTGAGTCAAGCCGTTTTCAACTATTCTTGAGGGAGGGGAAAAAGAAATTGTCCCAAAATCCAGGTAGAGAGAGGTTAAATTTATGAAAGATTTAAGGATGTAGGGCTTGAAGCTGAGGGATCTCCTTTTAACTTTCTTCCTTTAGTGAAGCATTTATCTGGCTTCCTGTACTTCCTTTTAACGTGAAATAAAGCTGTCCAGCTCTCAGGTATTGCAGATACAGCATTTCCAGGTGAAAGCAAATGAGGAGCATGGAAGGCTGCTTCTGGAGTGTTCAACAGCTGGGATGGTTTTCCTGATGTCATGTAAAAAGGATAGCTATAGAATTTTATGTGGGGTGTGTGTGTGGAATCACACTCTTCTTAGGCCACAGGTGGACCATGGACCAAATCAGGCCTTCAAGCCCCCTCCCCATTTAGGCCAAGACACACCTACCTGCCCTTCATTTAATATCATATACAGTAGCAGATTGCACAGGAAGCATGAAGGTGGCTCAGCTGAAACAGATCTTGCAGAGGCACTGCAAGATAGTGCTTTGAAAACGGGCTCAGCAAGGCTGGACTATCTCCCAACTGCTGGGCCTTGCAAAGTCCATTTCAAAGCAATATCTCGCACAGCACTTTGAAAGTGCTTCTCAAAAGTTTTCTTATGGAGGTGCTATACACAAAGAACTTGGAACCTTCTTCATGCAGTGCTGATGTCTACCACTGAGCTGCGTCCCTCCCCCATACAGTAGAGTGGAATTTAGCATCCTAGTATTTGCTGCCTAAGGGCTCACCCAGACTTTTGCTTGTCCCACCGCTTTCCCCTTGGGAAACCTTCTCTTTACCTCTGAGCTGGAGTAAACATCTATCAGGTTTTCAGTGGACTGATGTTTGCTCCAATTCAGGGCTAAAGAGCAGGTTTTCTCAGGGAAAGTTGCAGGGCAAACAGAAAACCACTCAGACCAGTGCCTGGAGAGCACGAGGCAAGTGGAAAACCAATAAAAACATTTTTAAAGGAAAGGAAACCATTCAGACCCATGTTTTAAGACTGCAGTGTCAAATCCCTTGATTGGGTAGTAATAATACTGTTCACAATGCAGTACATATGTTAGAAGAAAACTCTTCCCCAGGCTTAGGGCTATCTCTTCTCCTATAGACCATGCCTCTGTGCCAGCAGCTGGCCTTGCAGAAAGTTAGGCCTTTTCCTGGCATGGACGTAAGTAGGAAGGAAACTGTCTCCTGCTACATTTTTTAATGCCAGACAATTGGCACAAAAGCAGAGCCAAAGAAAGAGGCACATTTATTTAGGCTTCACATTTTTAAAAGAAGAAGATAACAATGCTTTATTTTTCCAGTTGAATTACAATTCTGTTGCATATCATCCAACTTACTGTTGAAAGGTAGTATTTGTAGGGGAAATGGATATGCATAAATATTTAATGCACTGTTTTACAAAAGCAGAGCAGGAAGATGTGCTTTAGTAAGTAACACATAAGCTTTTAAGATCCATTCCTTTATATGCTGCTTGATTTCCTTCCCCCCACTCTCTACCCTACCAGTTTACTACAACAATGGTGTGTGTGCAGTGAACTTTTTCCTCAGCTAGATAGCAAAATACCTTGAGCCAGCCCTGGGGAGAAATGCATTTCCTCATCATTTTAAGTGCTGAAAAGCTGCCATTTCCTCACCACAGAATAACTTCCTTCAGGGAAGAAATCAGGATTCCTTGCAACAACTAGGCAATTGCAGCGGGGGTCGGGGGGAGTCTGGCATACAAATGTGAACAAGCAAATGGACTGAAGCATGTTTAAGTCTCTTGAAATTGTTACAAAAGTCGGGTGCCTGCCCTTCTCTATGTTGAGCGGTGGCATGAACCCATGGGTTCCCAGGCACCCACACGGGGTCTGTGACCCTTTGGAGAATGGAAGACACTGCAGAGACTGTTGCAGCTTTAAGGAATATGGTTTATTCATCTATTTACACCTTCAGTTAGCATGGAGGGAGTCCAGATCTTACAGCATGGCTTGCACCCCACAGCAGTGCAAGCAGCCTTCAGCCAGCCTGCCCAAGATGAATCTCAGCTCTTCCTACTCCTCCTCCTTCCACCTAGAAATCCTTTGTTCCCAGACTCCCTCAAGCACCTCCCTGGCAACCTTTCAAACCCCTGTCTCTGTTCACACCTCGGGGCAGGGGAGAGGGGGTTCTCTTGTACTTTGAATGGCCCTCTATTGTTCTTTGATGTTCCTGGCTCAGCCAGGTTGTTTTGCATAAGCTAGCCCAGGACTTCCTCTTCAGCTTGCATTCTCCCTTCATATCCCAAATAAACAGAATTCTAGAATTTATTAATTTCTAGGATTTAGGGGAGTCCCAGAGCCTAGGGCTTGCCAATCAGAAGATCGGCGGTTTGAATCCCTGCGACAGGTGAGCTCCCATTGCTCGGTCCCTGCTCCTGCCAACCTAGCAGTTCGAAAGCACGTCAAAGTGCAAGTAGATAAATAGGTACCACTCCGGCGGGAAGGTAAATTACGTTTCCATGTGCTGCTCTGGTTTGCTGGCCACATGACCCAGAAGCTGTACGCCGGCTCCCTCGGCCAATAAAGCGAGATGAGCGCCGCAACCCCAGAGTCAGCCACTACTGGACCTAATGGTCAGGGGTCCCTTTACCCTTTTAACCCTTAAATCTATAACAACATTGAACCCAAATCAGTCTTGACAACAGACAGCAAGGAAGGAAGGAAGGAAGGAAGGAAGGAACCTAGAAATATGCGTCAGAACACATTCACTAGGGACTCATCCACTCTTTCATTTGCCCTGCCGCTTTCCCCTTGGAAAACCCATGGTTTAACACTGCATTGGAACCAACAGCAATTGGGTTTCCTGCGGATTGCCATTTGCTCTGATTTAGTGCTAAAAAGTGGGCTTTCCAGGGGAAAGCAGTGAGGCAAAGGCAAACTGCTCAGACCTGTTCCTAGACAGCATGGGACAAGTGGAAAACTGCCTGGACCTGTGCTGTCTAGGCAAGGGACAAGCAGAAGTATGGACATGCCCTCGGATAAGGATGGGGACCCTGTGGCTGCTCAGATGTTGGTGGACTACTACCCTATCATCCCTGACAGCGGGCTGTGCTGGCTGGCTCTGATGGGAGTTGGAGGACCACAGGAGTCTTCCCTGCACCAGCAAATTAGAGAAGCAACAGTTTTTTAAAAGAATGTAAAGGCTTGCTCAAGGGTCTCCCCTAAGTATAACTCATCCTGTATGTGCATAATGCATACCTAGTTACTATGGTTTAAAAATTCAAGGGCAGATGTGGCTACATGGAAGCTATGTTGTAGCTTACAACTTGGATGTACAATACTGTGATCTTTCTCCTAAATACAGACTAAGTTAGTTGAATGGAGATCTCACTAAAATCAACAAGATAGGATAGTCAGCGGGAGAATGCAGGCAACTTAACCCATTTACTGACTTCGAATTTAAACATAGGTGCCTTTGTTTGCCATTTCCATGTGTTCAAGCACATGAACAAATTTTTAAGTGGTTTGCTGAACAATTGATTATGTGTCTGCTCAGAAGTTAGTTCCACTGAGTTCAGTGGGGATTGCTTCCAGGCAAGTATGGATAGGATTGCAGTGATCATTATTCTCTTAAATCTTTTTTTAATATATAAAAAAGTTTGGATTTCAGTATTTGAATATTAGTACTTAATTGCTAATATGCATTTGCATCTGCACATATCCGGTAAATGTTGCACATGCTATTTTAGTATTTGGTAGCATTTACTAACTGATGTGCAATGGTAGTTAGTAATTAACAATATTGGGTGGCTGTCATGCAACTGTGTTTAGTAGATGACTATATTTTTACTATAACTAACAATATTTAGAAACTGATATGCAGCCTTATTTTGTCACATTGCAATGCTGCTTATTATTTGATAACTGACAATGTAAGACTTCAATCCTAGCCATGCCCACTCACAATTAAAACCTGTTGAATTTGAGGAGGCTTACTCTCTGCAGGTAAGTGGGATTGCAACCTTAGGAGATTTCATATTGGTTGTGTGCCAGAACCACCAAGAGATGCCAATAAATTTTTCATTATGAGAATTTACATTCAAAATTCAAACTAAAATTGTGAAATGTGAAATGTCATCACGATTCTAGCACTGCAGGGAGTTGTATTAGATGACCCCTTGGATCCCTCCCAGCTCTAAAATTATTTGATTCTATGATTCTAAAATAGCCCCACTCTTCTGCCCATAATGGGCTTAAGTGAACACATAAGGAGGGGAAGGGCTTGAACAAGTGCACTAGCTCCACCCCTTTGCCCTCTGCTTGTTCCTAAGCAGCTGTCTTGCAGTAGACCATGGATAGGCAAACTAAGGCCAGGGGGCCGGATCTGGCCCAATCACCTTCTAAATCCATCCCGTGGACGGTCTGGGAATCAGCGTGTTTTTACATGAGTAGAATGTGTGCTTTTATTTAAAATGCATCTCTGGGTTATTTGTAAGGCATAGGAATTCGTTCATTACCCCCCCAAAAAATATAGTCCAGCCCCCCACAATGTCTGAGGGACAGTGGACTGGGCCCCCTGCTGAAAAGGTTTGCTAACTGCTGCAGACAATCCTCCCTCTTAATCAAGGCTCCTGCATATTTTCCACTACTTTCTATTCAGTTCTACTGCCTAGATAGGTATAGTGATGGCAACATTACTGGAAAATGGGTTGAGAATGAGAGAGAGAGAGAGAGAGAGAGAGAGAGAGAGAGAGAGAGAAAGAAAGAAAGAAAGAAAGAAAGAAAGAAAGCGCTTGCACACGCACACACACACACACACACACACACACAAATGTTTGCATGCAGAATCTCCCAGGTTTAATCCCTAACATCTCTGGTAGGTCTGGGAATGACCCGTACCTCAAACTCTGGGAATAGCTGCCAGTTAGTGTGGACAATAGTGAGATGGATGGACCAAAGGTCTTGGTAGCTCAGTTGGTTAGAGCATGGTGCTGATAATGCCAAGGTTGAAGGTTTGATGCCCTTATGGGACAGCTGCATATTCCTGCATTGCAGGGAGTTGGACTAGATGATCCTCAGGGTCCCTTCCAACTATATGATTGTAAGATTCTATGACTTGGTATAAGGCAGATTCTGATGTCCATGTAGTGAGGGCCCTCAGGCCAGATGACAAGTAAGGTGCAAGCCACAATGTCACTGAGCAGTGATGGATTTTGGGTGGTGCAGGCAGTTCCCCCACCTAGGGCATCAAGCCAAGGGGGTGCAAAATTGAGAAGATACATAATCAATAAGATCCATTTGGGGCATAGGGTCCCATATTGTGAGAGATTACCCAAGTCTGCTCCTGCATTGAACAACATAGCTGGGAAGCAATGTTAGGTCTTTTAGGTAATAACCTGCAACATAACTGAATGCTGGAAAAGGAGTCACAGCCAAACCACTCATTATCTCTCTATGATAATGTGACTCCAAAGACCTATTAGTCACATTCACAATTTAAATCCCCCCCCCCCGTATGCAACATTGTTGTTGCTGTTATTTAAAATCTGAGGTCTAAACCTATGGAGCACAGTGTCCCTTAGGCACTTCCAAATGGGAACAGTTTGTGAATGTCAAACTGTCCAAATCATTCAATATTCCTGACACCAAGAAGCCACCTAGTATTTGTCCCCAGCCCTGTGTTGATCAGACTGGCAAGATAAGCCTAGGAGACACAGCATCCATTTTGCCTGAGCAGCCATCATCACACTTAGGAGTGTGGATTTTGTTTGGATTTTGTTTGCATTGTAATGAGAAACTATATAATTTACACTTCTCGAACTATATGAGAACTCAAACACAGCTATCCTTCAAAATTCACACCTCTCAGAATGTTGTGGTGCAGTTCTCACACCAACCAATGTGTACAAAAGTATACATACTATTGTGCAAAAAAAGAGAGGCATATATGAAAATAACATACAAATGTATATATTAGGGAAGATTGCTTTGCAGACTATTTGTATACAGTGGTACCTCGGGTTAAGAACTTAATTCGTTCTGGAGGTCCATTCTTAACCTGAAACTGTTCTTAACCTGAGGTACCACTTTAGCTAATGGGGCCTCCCGCTGCTGCCATGCCGCCGGAGCACGATTTCTGTTCTCATCCTGAAGCAAAGTTCTTAACCCGAGGTACTATTTCTGGGTTAGCGGAGTCTGTAACCTGAAGCTTCTGTAACCTGAAGCGTCTGTAACCCGAGGTACCACTGTATTGCTCAAAACTGATACTGTTATGCTGACAAATTTTCATGAGGATTTTTTTTTTAAATTGCAAAAGGAGGTTAACTTAAGTTAAGATTGGAGGTGGGAAATGAGAAATGGAGAGAACCAGAGCTGACAGATTTCTCCATCCCTAACCCCAACGATGGATCCTTCCAAAGAAGAGTGTCTCATTCTATATTATGTATTTTCATGTTTTTATATTGTAAACTGTCCTGTGATCCTCTGATGAAGATCATTATGGAAATTTATTCACTAATAATAAAAAACCTCTTTGGAGGTTTTTAAGCAGAGGTTGGATGGTCATCTGCCAGGGATGCTTTAGCTGTGTTTCTGCATTGCTAGGCGTTTGCGTGCATTGCAGGGACTTGGCTTTTGCCGTCTCTTCCAGCTCTACACTTATGTGATCTAAGGATTCTATAATCTGTGGAATGTTTGCATTCAGGTCAGTGCATGTTATTATGTATGTAAGTCCCCACATCCTGCTCCCCAGTTGCCGAAATGCACCCCAGTTTCATGGTCTGCAAATGGAACTAAAAATGTGGGAGAAGTTCCATTGGGTGTCTTATGACTAGGGATTCAAATGGATGCTTGACAATTTCTGACCCTTCTACCTATCAGCCTGCTCATCATTTCCCCCAAATTATCAGTTTCCTTTCTTGGAATCAGCTGAAGCATGCTCACTGTTGTGCCAAAGAACTGAAGGATTAACTTTATTTAAACACAGAAGGCACGTTTCTTTTTCATTAACAGGATCTGTGGTGTGTGACATTTTGATAATAGTAGTAAATAATCCAAAACAAGCAAAGGAAACATGTGCCAGTTCATCATAACAACCTTGAAGTAGGTTACATATCAAAAGCAACACCTTTCTACCTCAGTACAGCCTGTCTGAGGTCTCCTGTATGGTAACAAGGACTTGGTAGCAGGGAAAATCAGATTGCACACCCAGTAGGTGCTCATCATTATTGCCGTCTCTTGCAGGCTCTGTGAAAGCACACAGCTGTGGACCAAGGTAAAGTATTGCAGGGTTATGTGGGATAGCTTCACAAACTGAAAAATTCAAGAAGGATTTTTTAAAAAAGGACTTTGCCACAGAGCCCAATTAAACTATGGAACTCAGTCCCATAAGAGATAGTTCTAGTATTACAAGAGGGAGAAAAACTTCTCACTGTCCACTTTCTTCACCCTTGCAGAGCCTCAGAGAGGGAGAAGCTAACATGGAGCCAAGCTGCAAAAGCCAAGCTCATGAGAAGGAGGGGAATACATTTCTCTTATTATTATTTTTGGCCGTTTAAATCCTCCCCTCATGAGAAGGAAAATAAGCATGCCATCTCCATGGCTGGTGCATTCCACCACCACCACCACCAACAACCATTGTCAAAAAATATTCAGAAAACGGGAGGATTTGAATCCAAAGCTTCCCCCGACATGTATTCCACCTTTCCTTATTGCTGCTCTCTGGGTTCTACTGTTGCAGCGGCAAGTGGCAGAGAGGTTATTCGTTCCCACAACAGGGCGATTAGCAAGGGCAGACCCACCTGCCTGCTTGTGCACTCCTTTCTCTGGGAGCACAGAGGAAGCTCCACTCTGTCCCATGACTGCTACTCAGCCAGGGGCGAGGAACCTCAGGCCCAGTGGCCAAATGTGGCCATCAAGTCTTCTCCACCTTCTCCACCTCTATCTGAATTTTGCAATGCAGCTCTCCAGCCAAGTAATGCATGCAAAAAAAGAAAAGAAAAGAAAAGAGAGTAGGGGATATACTAGAGTAAAGTTTTCATACAAACAAATGTGTTTATGAAAGTAACATACATTTATTTATTTATTAAATTTATATACCGCCCTATACCCAGAGGTCTCTGGGTATACCTATACCCATAGGTCTCACAGACCAAAATCAAAATATAAAACCACAAAATATATAATCAAAATAAAAACAACAACCCCATAACTACCCCCCCAAAACCCCACATTTTAAATGGGCATAGGATGTCAATCAAATCAACCAAAGGCCTGGTTTAAAAGGAACGCTTTTGCCTGGCGCCTAAAGGTGTACAGTCATACCTCGGGATAAATACGCTTCAGGATAAGTATTTTGGGGTTGCGCTCCACAGCGACCTGGAAGTAACGGAGTGCATTACGTCCAGGTTTCACTGCTCGCGCATGCTCAGACAGCTCAGAATGACGTCACGCGCATGCACGGAAGCGACAAAACGCAACTTGCGCACGCGCAGACGCGCTGTTGTGTCTTACGTTCTGTTCAGGATGCGAACGGGCTCCGGAACAGATCCCGTTCGCATCCTGTGGTACCACTGTATAATGAAGGCGCCAGGCGAACTTCCCTGGGGAGAGCATTCCTCAGATCGGGAGCCACTGCAGAGAAGGCCCATTCTCATGTTGCCACCCTCCTGGCCTCAAGGAGGAGGCACACAAAGAAGGGCCTCAGAAGATGATCTCAGGGTCCAGGTAGGTTCATATGGAAAGAGATGATCCTTGAGTTATTGCAGTCCTGAGTTGTTTAAGGTTTTATAGGTCAAAACCAGCACCTTGAATTGGGCCTGGAAACTAATTGGTAGCCAGTGCAATTGGACCAGGATCAGTGTAATATGCTCAAACTGTCCTGCTCCAGTGAGAAACCTGGCTGCTGAATTCTGCACCAGCTGAAGTTTCCGAACCGTCTTCAGAGGCAGTCCTACGTATAATGTAATCTGACCTTGAGGTTACCAGAGCATAGACAACAGTAGTTAGGCCATACCTGTCCAGATAGGGGTGTAGCTGAGCCACCAGCTAAAGCTGATGGAAGGCACTCCGGGCCACTGAGGCCACCTGAGCCTCGAGCGACAGCAAAGGATCCAGGAGTACCCCCAAGCTACAAGCCTGTTTCTTCAGAGGAAGTGTAACCCCATCAAGAGTAGGAGACCTCCCATCCATCTGGTCTAGGGAACCACCCACTAACAGTGCCTCAGTCTTATCTGGATTGAGTTTCAGTTTGTTGGATCTCATCTAATCCATTACTGAGGCAAGACAATGGTCGAGGACGTTGACTGCCTCATCTGCAGTTGTAAAGGAGAAATAGAGCTGAGTGTTATCAGCATACCACTGACAATGTACTCCAAACCTCCAGATAACCCAACCCAGCAGTTTCATGTAGTATAAATACATTATATTAATGGAAATTGCATACAAAAATATGTAAGTTAGGAGAAATCAGGGCTAAACACTGGTGAATTTTCATGAGGAATTTTGGGAAGGAGGGGATTTAAACTGGTGTGGAAATGTGGAGAACTGATATTAAAATTGGGAAAAACATGAAACTGAGAGAGAAACTTGGTGACTCTGGTGCTTGAGGTGACTCGTCCAAAGACGTTATGATTGTTTTTGTACCATGTTGCCACTTGGGCACATTGAACACAGTTCTCTGAGAAAGTTTCTGCAATAGCTAAGATGATTCACATGAGAGTAACTATAACAACCAGGTGCACCACTTTGCTTGAATTAGAGGTGCTTGACAAGAAAAGGAAGAAGAAATTTTGTTTGTATCTGAAGCCAAGAAATCCATGAGTGAACAAAAGGCCATTTGAGGGGAGCTCCAGAGGTTCTTCATCAAAAGAGTCCTCAGGGCTCACATTATGGTAGATTTCTTCTTTGGAGAGGGGACTTTTAATTTCCAATATCCTCATGCAGAAGGTCCCAGGTGCAACATCTCCAAGTAGGGCTGGGAGAGGCTCCTGCCTGAAACCTAGGAAAGCAGATGTCAGTCAGGGTGGACAATTAT